TATTGTAAAAACTGGCTACTTAAGTAGTATGCCTTTTTATCCTTGATTTTGATTGCTTTTATAAATTCAAATAGATTTTATGGAAAGCATGCACGAAAAAATTATTCTTGTACATGTTTGATAGCAAATTACGCCTTCTTTAAAGTTTATACTCAGGGAAAGGGTAGCTGTCGGTTATAAAAAGTTGCTCAAAAGCCGAATAATTATCTAACCTAGTCACATCTACACTCGAATTCAAGGTTTAAACACTGCGCACTGTGTACATCCTGTTTAAAAGTACGTTTTCGCCTACTGTTTGAGGAAGAAGTCACATAGTAGTCATAAAATATTGAAAAAGATGTGCAACATGCTTTATCCAGTATAGGCAGCATTAATAAATTGGCGAATACGATGTATTATGAATAAACACCTCACAATTGTAAAAAAAAGCTCATAATAAGCAACTTTTTTGTAACCGAAAGCTGCCTTTTCTTTGAGTATAAATATTAAAAAAGGCGTAATTTACTAACAAAAAGTATAAGAAATAATTTTTTTATGCATGTTTTCCATAAAATATATTTGAAGTTATAAAGGCAGTCAAAATAAATGATAAAAAGCATACTACTTAAGTAGGCAGTGTTTACAATATATACGTTTGGCTAGTGGTCAGAACGAAGCTTGTTAAAAAGCCCGCATCCTATCATGACTAAAAAGACTCCAGAATAGACTACGCGATAGTCAGTCTCACAACTTGAGTCAATGCCGATTAGCGAAAGATTATCAATCTTTCGCATATGTCCAAATGTTACGTGATCTTTGGCGTTTACTGTATATTGTGCTCACTCTGGAGCTCAGTCAGCGAAAAAGAATTCCCAAACTTAATCATAAAACCCCTATTAACACCACTTCCGTAAGAAAATCTTGGGGCTAGGGATATCGTAGTACCCCCTGCAACTTCATTCTTGTCGCAAGTCGTTTGGAAAGCTGAAATTCAAGTATGAACGATGGTAGGGTTGAAACTTTTTCGGCCATTTAGAAACGGTAACAATAAAGTTGGTCGACCACCTTATATACCCCTTGCCCCAGAATTCTGTTATACGGATCCGGTATTATTAGTTTATTTAAGCTTAATTTTGATGGTTTATTTGCTTAAGCACATTTTTCCAACTTTGCGGTATTTAACTAAACTAAAGACTAAACAGAAATAAAATAAGACCGATAAAATAAATAATAAACTAGAAACTTAACTTAAAAAATTATAAAAGAAAAGGAAGCCAGAGGATTAGGGACAAGAGATATATAAAGTGGTCGACCGACCTTGGTGTTACCTTAGACACTTTTTAAAACCA